CATGGGATTTGTATTTATTCTTACATGTTTAAACTTCAGACACCTTCCAGGTACTCTCCGTTTGATGCAGTATACCTATCGAGACACTTTTTCCACTGCTTAAAACAGTTTTGAACTCATCAAATGTGATGCCTTTTAGTGCTTCTGCCTTTTTTTGTTTCACCTTTTCCACATCAGCAAAACATTTTCCTTTTTGGACTTTTCTCATCGGGGAAACAAAAAAAGTCGATTGGGTAAAATTGGGTGAAATAGAAAAGGTAGGTCATGGGAGTCCGGCCATTTTTGGTCCGAAAGTGCTGAGCACTAAACACGGAGTGGGCTAAATCACTTACAATGAAATGGGCAAACACGTTGAAAGAATCCTCCCCAAAATTCACTGAAGTGGAACACAGCCTCTCACTAAAATGCTAGCTGGCGCACTGATGTCCATGGGTTTCTAGAACTTTTTTTTCTAGATTAGAAAATATAGTTTATTTAAAAGTAAATTAAAGAGAGAGAAATTCATCTCCCCAAGATGGGGGAGCGGGCCAAAGCTAGGAAGCATGGTGACAGCCATAGCTCAAAGAGCAATGGCCGATTTCTAGAACATTTACCCAGTGAGGAAATCCTGTACTATAAGAGGCCCACCCTCCAAAAGAAAATTCTGTTTTGGGGGAGGTCCCCCCTTATAGGGGTACAAGAAAGAGGGCGAGAGGGGGAGGTGGGAGAAGAAAGAGAAAGAGAGAGGGAAAAACCTGCCATTAATGAGTACTCTTCACACACTCTGCTCAAATTACCCCTTACCAGAATTTTGAAAAACACTTTTCAGTTGCCCTAAAAATGTTTTCATCATAATTAGATATTTACAAAGGGCATTTTCTGGCATGTTTTAAATATCAGTATTTTAAAATAAGGCCGAAATATCACTTTTTAAAATATACTCATATAGAAGGTCAATTTCTAGTTCTTTCAGAAATCGCCACACTGTCTTCCAAAGAGGTTGCACTAGTCTGCATTCCCACCAGCAGTGTAGAAGCGTTCCTTTCTCCACATCCTCGCCAACATCTATCATTGTTTTATTAATAATGGTCATTCTTACTGGGGTTAGGTGGTATCCCAATGTGGACTTGATTTGTATTTCTCTGATGATGAGTAAGACTGAGCACTTTTTCATGTGTCTGTTGATTGCCCGTATATCTTCTATTGGGAATATACCCGGAGGAACTCAAATCATTCTACGACCAAGATACCTGCACACGTATGTTTGTTGCAACTCTATTCACAATAGCAAAAACATGGAACCAACCGTGTTGCCCATCGAAGCTGGACTGGATTTTAAAAACTGTGGTACATATACACAATGGAATATTATGCAGCCATAAAGAAGGACAAACAGCCGGGCTCGGTGGCTCAGCCTGTAATCCCGCGCCTTTGGGAGGCTGAGGTGCGTGAATTGCCTGAGCCCGCGGGTTCGAGACCCGCCTGGGCAGTGAGACCTCATCTCTACAATAAATTAAAAAATCAGCCAGGCATGGTGGCACATGCCTGTAATTCCGGCTACTCGGAAGGCTGAGGCGGAAGGATCGCTGGAGCCCGGCAGGCCGAGGCTGCGGTGGCCAGGAGTGGCCACTGCACTCCAGTCTGGGCGACAGAGTGAGACTCCAACTCAAAAAAAAAGAAGGACAAACATGGACTTTGCAGCAACTTGGATGGATTTGGAGTCGATCATACTCAGTAGCTTATCACAGAAACAAAGAACTGAGTTCCACATGTTCTCACTCATAAATGGACCTTGAACAATTATAATGCTATAAGAAAGTGATTGGCAGTAGTGGAAAACAGTCGGGGGGAGGTGGGATTGGCAGTTGAGGGAAACTGCTAGGAGAGGGAGGGGCATACCTCATCAAGAGTACCTGCATGATTAATATTTATGCACCTAACCCTGAATTGTACCCATCTCTATAATAAATAAATAAATAAAATAAAATATACTCAGTGAAATTTAAATATAAGAGTAATTTGCCATCATTATGCTTTGTTTTAAAAAAAATTTAAACTCTTCCTTAGCAGACAGAATGTTAACATTGTCCCTTTTTCTCCTTGACCTCATATTTCCATTTCTTCTCCCCAGAATTTTATCCTAATGGAAAATGCTTCATTAAAGTCTTTTGTCACCATATCACACTTCTCTACAACAGAAATACGTACATACCAGTGAAATAAAAATTTTGGTCTTCTGTGGACCCATATCATAAGATGATTTTACACGTCATCTGACCAGTGTCTCCCAGGATGTTCCCTTAGGAGGGAGGCATCTTCAAAGACAGTGACGGCATGGTGAAAGAGATAGCATTCAATGAAACATGTCATCCCTCCTGCTGCTGACTCAAACCATCCCCAAAAAGCCAAATGGCCTTGTTCCTACTCTACAATTTGCCATCAACAGATCATATGTCAGCTGAGGAAAGAAAGGCTCAAAGCCCAACTTGAGGTTATGATACTCTAATCAAAGAAGTGACTCAATTAAAGAAAAAATTCATAAACCCCATTGTGAATACTTTCAACAGTACCAAAATACTTTCAATGGTACCATGCTTTAATGCATAATATTAAAATTCAGGATGGGTGAGAAATAGGCCTTTATCATGGCAGAATACCCCTCTCTCCGAGATTCTTATGTAGAAACCCTAATGTGAAGGTCTTAGGAGGTGGGGTCTTTTAAACGTAATCCTTTAATATGGTATCATTTAAACATACATGATTGCTGGATGTGGTGGCTCACACCTGTAATCCCAGCAGTTTGGGAGGCAGAGGCAAGAGGATTGCCTGAGTCCAGGAGTTTGAGACCAGCCTGGGAAACTTGGCGAGACCACGTCTCTATAATAAATCAAAAAATTAGCCAGGTGTGGTGGTGCATGCCTGTAGTTCCAGCTACTTGGAAGGCAGAGGTGGAAGGATCACCTGAGTCCAGCAGGTAGAGGCTGCGGTGGCCGTGAGTGTGCCACTGCATTCCAGCCTAGGCAACAGAGTGAGACTCCAATTCAAATAGATTAATTAATTAATTAAACTAAACATACATGATCCAGACAACCTGGGTTTGAATGATAGCCATGGCAAATTATGTTGACAAGTCTTGTATCCTGTGTCACTTTCCTAATCTATAACACGAAGGTAAGGCTATTTTGACGCTACTTGTAATGTTCTGAGATCATTTGTAAGAGCTTAATTAACATTTGCTTTATATATATATATATATATATATATTTTTTTTTTTTTGAGTTGGAGTCTCACTCTGTCACCCAGACTGGAGTGCAGTGGCCGCTCCCGGCCACCGCAGCCTCGACCTGCTGGGCTCCGGCTATCCTTCCACCTCAGCCTTCCAAGTAGCTGGAATTACAGGCGCGCGCTACCACGCCCGGCTAATTTTTTGATTTATTGTAGAGATGAGGTCTCGCTGCCCAGGCGAGTCTCGAACCCATGGGCTCAATAAAAGCCCATACTTCACCACTCCACCACATTCGTATGTAAGAAACCTGCACTTATACTGCCTAAATACATTTTAAAGCTTTTTTATATTTAATCTTTAAAATGTATTTAGGCAGTATAAGTGCAGGTTTCTTACATACGAATGTGGTTTAAAATGTATTTAGGCAGTATAAGTGCAGGTTTCTTACACACGAATGTGGTGGAGTGGTGAAGTATGGCTTTTAGTGAACCCATCACCTGAATACTTAAGGGCTCCCCACTCCCAGCCCTCACCTTTTGTAGTCTCCAGTGTCAACTATTTCACTCTGTATGTCCATGTGTTCTATTACTTAGTTCTCACTTATAAGTGAGAACATGAGGTTATTTGATTTTGTTCCTGAGTGACTTTCACTGAGGACAATGGCCTCCAGTTTCATCCAGAGGTCATACTAGAATAGTGTGGATCCCTAATCCAACCTGACTGATGTCCTTGTAAGATGACAGGCACAGAGGCAGAGGCTAAAGTGATGTTAGGGAAGGATGTGGCCTCCACTGCCAGCTGGAAGAAGTGAGGAAGAATTCTAGCCAGAGTTGCAAAGGAAGCATGGCCCTGTTGAAGTCTCTATTTTGGACCTACCTCCCAACTGTAAGAACAAATGTCACTTTTTTAAGCCACCCAGTTTGTGGGCCTTTGTTACAGCAGCCCTAGAAAATGAGCACAGTTCCATATAGAAGCGGAGGATCTGGAAATCAGTTTCCTTAACACGTACACTTTGGAGATGCCTGCTCCATCTGAGTCATCATTGGCAGAAGCATAGGAGGTGAGCGATTGCACCACCTCACACATTTGCATCTGACAGTCCCTGGGAGCTGGGTCCCAGGAACCAGGAGTTCACTTAAGCACCCTAGGGGATTCCCTGCACACTAGGTGTTAAGAACTTTTACTTAGAGAACTGATGGCTTCCTGAAACCTCTCACCTCTCTTAGTGGAAAGCAGTGGAGAAAAAAGTGCCATATCTTTTCTTTTTTTTTTCCTGATTTTAAAAATTAACTTTTTAAAAAATTTTTCTAATTTTTATTTTAAAGATATAGAGTACAACTCAGGCTTAGGTATACAAATGGTCATTATACAGGTAAAGTTTGGGCCTCACTTTGGTCCCCAAGTCACCTGGTTTGAGATCAGGTACCACATCTTTTCTTACCTGAGATACTGGGTGTGCAAACTCTAAATGTTCAAAGAAAGATGTGAACTATTTCTTTCTCCTTTATTCCCCATGTTGTTCCCACAACACATGAAGAAAAATTGACTGCCAGGGCAGCAAACTGCTTAGTCAGTGATAAAACAGTCAAGTTCAATTGTTTGTTATGGATCTTAAAAATAAACAGTATTAGCCAACATCTTAAAAGTTCTTTATGAACTAAACCTTTCCATACCACCTAGGGTATGGCACACGTACTACAATCCACTCCATAGCTGATTGAGAAACAAGGTACTAAAATGTGCAGTTTTATAGCTAAAAATCACAACTCTCAAAATTAAAATATTTGCACAGGTCTCTTCACAAGTATTATAATTTATTTTGAAATATAAATTAGCTCATCAACTTTCAGTGACAAAAACAGGCAAAGGGTGGTACATGCCACTGATGATAAAATCTGTAAGAATACAATTCCTTTCCAATGTGCTTAGTTATTTCTGAAGACCCCACTGCCCATCAGTCGTGTTTACACCAGTGTAAACACACACAGTCACAGCTAATGATGCAGTTACCATGGTCATGAATTCATCCAAGTCTCTACCTTTAAAAGGAATAAAGCATGAATAACAATAACATATAATGAGGAAATGAACAGAATTCCTCGGAGTAGCTGCTAAATTTCTTCAAAAACTGGATTACAGATGTCCCACCATCTCCTCCAAATCTGTGTTTTTTACAAACTAGGAAATCAGCCTTTCCTTAGAAGAGTACATGAACAGTTTTCCCCTCTGAATGAGGAATTCTTGAAACTTCAGAACCTATAAACTGAGTGCCTCTCTGGAATATTTTTAAACTAAGAGAATGAATAGTTGTAACATCTTCTCAAGGTTCATGAGTTTTGTTTACGTGCTGATATTTTTCAATCAGAGAAGCTATGAAGTCTTTTATGGGTTCTGTGACTACTTTCTCTTTTATTATCTATTTCAAAGAGAACAATTTCTAGAATCCTTAAGCTGTAATCTCTGGCCTTTCTTGTTTTCCTAGGAAACTTGCATATTTGGCTATTTAATTAGACGTGAAGAAGCACAGAGACATTCAAGGCTGTTCCTTGAACTCACACCATATGGACAACATGGATCTGAATGATTAACATGTTCAAGGATTCTTCTAAATAACCAGAGATCCAAAGCACTAAAGACAACTCCATTCCAAACAGACCAGCCAAACACGGCAGCATTATTTTAAAGGCCAGATATATTTTCAAAAGATCATGTTTACAATAAGCAAATTATGTAGTGAAGAAATATCAAAATCAAGTTGGTGAATAAAAAGGTACACTTGAATATGTCAAGAGCTGAAGAACAGGACAGTTCTTTTTGTTTTGTTTCTAGTAGAGGAGGAAAAGGGAAACAGACATATTGAAATTATTTTTTCAAGTGAAGGTTTCTATCAGTTGAAGTAGTTAACATCGGCTTCCTTCTCCCTCGCCCCAAGCAGTTCTTTCCTGCCTTCGTCTGAGAAGGGATTCAGTCTTCTGCCATGTATAGATGATACATCAGGGCAACGGCCACTGCTGAGAGGGCCGGGATCAGCCAGTTGGTCCACCAACTAGAAAAACACAATGAGCAGAGGTGTTTGTGTGATGTTCATTGCGGGAAATTCTAAATCTTTGCTCCTTCCGATAGAAAATTACCGGGGTCACGGGTTTCTTACCTCTCTAACTAACTTGATTGAAAAGATAACTCGGATTTGTTAGAAGTGACATGGCTGCATCATATGCCTTAGAATACTGCCAATCGCTCTATCCTGCTAGTTTTATGAGAAAACTAATGCCCAACGAGCTCCACTTCATTTTTTTTTTTTTTTGAGACAGTATCTCACTCTGTTGCCCAGGCTGGAGTGCAGTGGAACAAACTTAGCACACTGGAGCCTTAAACTCCTGGTTCAAGCAATTCTGCCGCCTCACCCAGACTTATAGGAGTCTGGAGTTACAGGAGTGATTGGGATTGCAGGCGTGAATCACCATGCCTGGCCCACTTCAATCTATTTCTAAAATTTTGCACAAAGAGCTATTATTACTTTCCCAAGAGACACTACCTAGGAGTAGTGAGTTACCTCAAGGACATTAACTATATTCCTTACAGGTTTTATTCTAGTTATATATAAATAATACTTAAGAACTTTTATTTATTTATTTTTGAATTGGGGTCTTACTCTGTCTCCTAGGCTGGAGTGGAGTTGGGCTCAAAAGATCTGTCTGCCTCAGTCTCCAAAGTAGCTGGGACTACAGGCGTAAGCTACCACACTCAACTAATTTTTTGATTTTTTTGTAAAGATGAGGTCTCACTATGTTACCCAGGCTGGTCTCAAACTCCTGGCTTCAAGCAATCCTCCTTCCTCAGTCTCCCAAAGTGCTGGGATTACAGGTATGAGCCATACATGGCTCACTTAAGAATTTTAAATGGCATTAGATTGAGAATCTCTTATTTTGGGTGAGCCATCAGCAAACTCTACGCTCAAGAGCAAATCACTTCCCTGAGCTGTAAAGTTGAGGGGTTTGGGCCATATAATTGCTAAGGTTGCTACAAACACCACGGCTCTAACACCCTGAGTGGAGGTTTCGAAAATCTGATCTTTATGGCCTGTGCTTAGATTTACAGTGTTAAGAAATAGCATGTCCAAACTACTTAGTCTGAGTTCCATGGGTCAAAATTCCCAAAAATGTCTAATTTATTCATTGTTCAGTCCTGATGCAGAGACATTTGATCTAATATAAAGTATAAATCATGGATCAAATTAGAAATAGAGCTAGGAAGAGCTTCAATTTAGATTTGAATCTTTTTTTTTTTTGAGTTGGAGTCTCATTCTGTCGCCCAGACTGGAGTGCAGTGGCCACTTCCAGTCACTGCAGCCTCTACCTGGGCTCCAGCGATCCTTCCGCTTCAGTCTTCCAAGTAGCTGGAACTACAGGCGCGCGCTACCACGCCCGGCTAATTTTTTGATTTATTGTAGAGATGAGGTCTTGCCAAGTTGCCCAGGCGGGTCTCAAAACCGCGGGCTCAGGCAATCCACTCACCTCAGCCTCCCAAAGCACGGGATTACAGACTGAGCCACCAAGTCTGGCTTAGATTTGAATCTTTATGTTACATTTGACTCTTCAATTCAGATTTTAATTTCTTAGAAAATAGAAATTAATTAATATATAAGCTTTACAATCTAACTGGACTATTTATATGCATTTTTCATCATAAACTTTCTTTTCTTTAACATTCTTCACCCACCAACCCATTCAAAAATCAAGTTCAGTATAAAGATTTAAACTGCAAAAAGATTACAAGTGTAATTTTCATCTTGGTGGGGTTTGGTGGTTTTTTCAGTTTCCCTTTAGAAATAAACTGGCATGTCCGTGAAAAGTAAGGTGAAGAACTGCCTGCAGGCAGAAAATGTTCGAGAACACCAATAGACTAGAGCAGTTAAATTTGACAGGAAGAAATATAAATGTGTGGTTTTGAACTTGGGTCCAAAAATAATAATAATAATGACTATTATAGAAGCCAATATGGTAGAACTGTCAAAGATGTTAATATGACCTTGGATTATAATATAGACATCTGGTCCCTAAAACAAGTGAGTCATGCCACACTTGACTTTAGGGCAAACTTATAAAAAGGACCAAGGGAAACTGAGTCATGCTTAGGGAAACATATAGTTTATCAAATAAGGAAGGAAATGGAATGTCTGCCAGGAGATGAGCCAATGGGGTGGCCATGGGACCAGTCAGCTGAAGGGCTGCCCTGGGGGAAAATCGGATGCAATTTGTTCTATATGTTCCTTGGGGTGGGTGCAGCCAGAGGGTAGGGTCTGGGTGGCTCAGAGAGTGTTCACAGTCAGAGCTGCCTGACAGCTTGGGACAGAAGAACCCCAGCACAGGGACCCGGCAGGTGGGGGAAGGGCCTAGTCCAACTCACAGTCATGAACCTTCCAACCCAACACTACTTTAACAGAAAACTACCACATACCTGGAATTAGACTCAAGAGTAGTAATAAGAGTTTCCTGAAACACAAGAGGTAAAAATAAGTTACAGGGGATGTTTGAACATTTATTCCACTGACTAAAAACCTGTTTTAAAATAAGATCACAATATTTTATTCAATTAAAAAAATGTTGGAAGGAAAAATTACATCATAAACTTTTCACTGAGATGCCTAATTTCACCATTTTTTTCCAGAATAAAAAATGTTAAGATATACTAAATTGCTTAAGGACATACCTTGATAATTTGAAAATGTTACAATTTTGCTACATAAAATATTCTGTACACAATAGGCATCTAAATACTTTAAGGTAAAACTGAGAACAGATACTTATGTACACATACACACATCCCATGTCATCTTCAGGAAGAGGAATTAAATTCTTCAAATGCAAAAATCAAATGTTCAATAAAAACATCAGTTACTTCATTCAAATCTGACACCCAAATTACATTAGATACATGTTAACAAAAAATAAAAAATGAGAATTGCCATTTTGAGTTCTAATATTCTAGCCCACCTTCCCTGAGCCTCCTTTGACTCTGACCAGACAGTGCCAGCAAGACACCTGACAGACCTCACGGGACTGTTTTGCCTCACCTCACACTGGTCATCTACCACCAACCACTGTCACCCTGAAAACAATCCTCCAAATAAGGAAGTCCCGCTTTTACCTTCCAGCACTTGCTCAGAGCAGCTCTTCTTGTGAGTACCACTAAAGTAGCTCTGGAAAAAAGTGTAACTTCCTACACTGCTGAAAAGCCAAGGGCCAGTGAAATATAAACTTTTCTGGGTTTGAAAATATGTTAAGAAGCATTGTTGATGTTCCACACCAGCAAAAGTATTAGTGCCTCAAACAAAAGCAGTGAAGAAAGCAGCTTCATCACAGAGTCCTAGGTCTGCAGTTTCCCAAAGCACAGATAAAAAAGCATCAGCCAAACAACTGGCTGTTTGCAGTGAAGCCAAGCTACACTCTGCAAAGCACATTAGAGAAATTCCTGTGAAAAGGCAGAACCCTTCCAAGGAAGAGCTGGCAAAGCTGTCATGAGACACACCAACCTTGACACACGGCCTTTAAGATTCCTGACACAGTAGGGGGAAAAAATAAGTCATTTAAAAAGAAAATTTCACATCTGCTACCTACTTAAGCAATTTTAAGAAATATTCATAACTACAGCAAGACTATTTTTCAAACTGTGTATATATGAATGAAATCAACAAAAACTTCTAGAAATAGTCAAAACATATCATTTAGCTATTAGAAGAAAGACAGTCAGCTCTGAAATATAAGAGTTCACTGAAGATAAAAATATTATTGTCACATCAGAAAGCTAAGTTTGAAACAGTAAATGGAAGGCAAACATAAATATCCATGACATTGTTAAACCCAGTACAAGTGCAGACATTTTACCAAACACATGGATAACTCTGGAAGCTAAGCTGGCTGCCTCTGCCCTTGTAGCTGCTATGAGCAAACACTAACATTAAACATGTCTAGCACACCACTACCAGCAACAAGGAATTCAAAAGCTAAACTTAGAAAAATCATATAACTGTTTGACGGTTTATTATCTTCTTTGCTCTACAGCCCAGGATGCTTGACATTAAAGCAAATTTGAATGACCACTTAGCACTTCAGTGAAAAAGTAAATTGTCTTTAATGACCAATGGTCTGAGGGGCCTCACTTGGGTTTAGGGATGTAACTATCAAATATGTCAGCAATGAACTGGAAGAAAGACTATAGTTTTTATGACAGGCTCTGCCACCTGTTCACTCCACGACCTTGAGGGCTCAACTTCTCGTAAAAAGAGATTGGAGATTAACAATTAAATTAGTGTAAGTCACGTGTAAGGACAAAGTCATGTAAATCAGTATTAATTATGATAAGCTCCATTTGATAAGCTCAAAGCCCAACAAGATTTTGCAAATCAGTCATCTCAGTTTAGATTAACTTAGTTGGAAATTCATCTTTGTTGGAAGACTTTCCTCAGTTGGAAGTCTACTCCTTAGCTGGAACTGATGTAGTTGGAAAACTCTCCTTTAAAATGCTGACAGAGTGATGCCTGCCTCAGGAAGTCCACAGCTACAGAAGCAGCTTCAGAGACTACAAGTGACAGGCCTCAGTTGAGTGCTAGACTTGGTTCTGGAGAGTGTGACTTGGAACAAGGTATTCGACACACCCAACCTTCACTGTCTTCACCTTCCTGGGCAGATGTATGGATCTCACAGAGGTATTATGAGAACCAATTGAAATAATTTCTATAACAATGCTGTGAAAACTATAACCAAGAAAGGGTACTGCCACTACTGACACCCTCTGTGTAAGCAAATTTGACAGATGCAGGTACATAAAATTTAAAACATGTAATTTCAGTGTCTACAAATACCTTATTTGGGCAACTTAAAACACTATGCTTTCCTTTGGGCAGGTTCAAGCTAGTAATCTTCAGTGCATTTTATTTCACAATTCAACTGGATATTTAAGCAGGCAACACGTTGAAACTTAATGTCACAAGGTATATTTTTCAGTATGGAGATACATGAATGGTTATATAGACACACACCAAAAGAAATAGATCTAAGGGCACTCTTTTCTGCTAAACTAAAAGCACAAGAAAGACAAACCCAGAAAAGTAATTATGTATTTTTTTTCATTTCATCTGCTTGGGGCAAAAGAAATGAAAAAAACAGTAAGCTTTTATCCCATATTCCTCCAGTTCTGCTCTAATTTAAGCAAAGTCACAATAAAAAAAGAGGATCTAAAAGTTGGTGCATTCATAAAATCTCTGAAGAGAGTAAAAATATCTACCTTAAAAAGTTATTGTGATTCCTGAAACTCCAGTGGGATCTTCTACACCTAGCAAGCTGATCAAATAGCAGCTGATGAGATGATGTAAGTCTTAACACAGACCGCTGTCCCATTATCATGATGCTATTTTAAGTTTTCTTTGATATTGATATTAAAAATTTTATTTGATATGTAAACTTGCTCTGTCTCCAAAATATTCTAAGTAACAAAAGTGATCAGCACTTCAAATTTGAAAAATAAGAACAACAAATACTAAGGGACAATTAGCTCAACACAGAGAATAAGTTATAATGCATTTGTTCAAATGCAAATAAAGGAGACAGTCTGTCCTTCCAACATAATGCAGTTATGGCGGGAGACACGTTTACCGCCTTAGACCTAATGATGTTCCTTGCTTGCAGGCATTATGGCTAGGGACACAGCTGGCCCTGCAGTGATCTAACTTCATGTAATAAGCCTTATCAAATCTTTGTTTTTTATAGCCAAATGACTTACACCAAGATTACTAACACACTGACTATCTAACAGGAAAAAAATATGCTTTTCCTCTGACAGACTTCAGAGAAAAAGGAAAAACCGCATATATCACAGAATTTCAGTTGTACAGAAAGTAGCCTCCAAAAAGGTGCTAAAGTCAAATGAACTAACAGCAGATTCCAAGTCATTGTTACAGAGGCCAAATTCTGAAGCCCATTTTTACCTTCCAGAAGTACTCATATCAACCAACATTAAACTTAATTAAGCCTTTTTTTGAATAGGGAAAGGAGAGAATATAAATCAAATTGCTTTGTCCCAAACACATTACACAAGACTTTTATTGTACTATCTGGGAAGTTGAGGTAAACATGACCTTTATGTTCATATTACTGGATTAACTACTTTGATTTTTTTGTAGATTAAAGAAATGTCTTGGCAGCAATAGCTAACAAAATGAGTTCCTCAGATCTTGATAAAAGCTCAGTAAAGTCTTGGTATTGTGCCCTCTCTAATAAAACCAAGAGCATACACCAAAATGAAAACATTATACATTCTGTCATTTGTTTTAAGCAACGCTTTCCCTCATAGATCCTTGATTATAGGCCAGGAACTATTTTGTCTACTTGTATTTTTCAGAAACTTTGGCTGTTCTCATCAATGCTTACTTTGGATTCATCTTCATATAAGGAAGATGGTCAGTTCAGAGAAAAGGGACAGTGAACCAGAGAGTAAAACTAGTATTACCAGAATCATTTTTCTTCCCTAAGGAAAAATAAATCAAAAGGATATTATTTACTTAATATTAAATTCATCTGACAAATATTTATTGAACACCTATTATGCCCCAGAGATGAAGAGATGAAGACATGGGTAGTGTCCTCAAATATTTAAGTAATAAGACCTCTATACAATCAGATTTTAAGTTCTCAAAAAGTAAGACTGAGTCAAATCTTTCAGATCAGAAGTACAATACTACTTATGAAAAATAGCTCTTCCAAGGGTATTTATTGATAATTATGATGAAAAAAGTAGTGTAAATACTGAGAATCTTTTTTTGTTTTATTTTGTTTGTTTTTGAGTTGGGGTCTCACTCTGTCATTCAGGATGAAATGCAGTGGCATATCCACGGCCACCCGAGCATCAACCTGCTAGGCTTAGGCGATCCTTCCACCTCAGCCTTCCAAGTGCCAGAACTACAGGTGCGCGCTACCACGTCCAGCTAATTTTTGATTTATCATAGAGACAAGGTCTTGCCAAGTTGCGCAGGTTGGTCTCAAACCCGCAGGCTCAGGCAATCCACTCTCCTCAGCCTCCCAAAGTGCTGGGATTATAGCCTGAGCCACCGAGTTCAGCCAATATTGAGAATCTTAAAACAAATAACATACAAGCTATCCTAACAATTCATAATGACTAGTCTATACAAATAAACATTTTTCTGAGCCAGTAGATTATTCATCTTTCCTAGAAAGACCTGTGCAGACCTCAGTCAGGAAGTAAAAGACCTCTGCCTTCAGTTTGATAGTATTAAATACAATGAAAAGAACTCTATCCACTGAGACATTTAAGATGGTCACACTTACCGAAGGCTTGTTTAACTTTGATCTGTCATCCTGCAATAAAAAAAAATAAGGCACATTATGGAATATGAAAATCTACAAAGAGCACTCTTTTTTTTCTTTCTTTCCAAAGTGCTCACATTAAATGAGATTTTCAAAAAAATTACAGTTCAGTAATTGGCATTCAGCTATTAAACACAAAGTTTTTTGTTTTGTTTTTTTTGAGTTGGAGTCTCACTCTGCCTCCCAAGCTGGAGTGCTGTGGCATACTCAGGGCCATCGTATTTTCAACCTGCTGGGCTCAGGTGATCCTTACGCCTCAGCCTTCCAAGTAGCTGGAATTACAGCTGTGTGCCACCATGCCCAATTAATTTTTTGATTATTTGTAGAGGCAAGGCCTCGCCATGTTGCCCAGGCTGGTTTCAAACCCATGGGCTCAGACAATTCTCTCGCCTCCACCTCCCAAACTGCTGGGATTATAGGCGTGAGCTACCGTGCCCAGCTAAACACAAAGTTTTAATCTGGTTTAACAGCAAAAACTAAGAGCAGATTAAGTGCCAAGAAGTGTCTTCTATCTAGGGTTCCAAAGTTTAGAATAGCATCCATGACAGTCTTCTGTATGTTAATGTGTATATACATTTATTAGACTCTGTGATCTTCACTTCAGGGAGCAGTTGAAGATCTAATTCTTCCCTCAGTCCTCACAAATTCCCTGTGAGATGTGTATGTATCTCTTATTTGTATGATATCCTCAGTGAATACTTGCAATCTCCCAACTTCAGAGTCATAAACTATTCAAACCTCAGGCCAAAGCCATAAAAAATAAAGTGTGTCTCAAGGCTGGCCACAGGGAAGCCTGGAAGGCAGGTGAGGCAGAAATCCCGCAGTCGGGGCCTGAAAACCACCCGCACCCATCAGATGGGATGAAACATTTTTAAAGGCAGCTTCTCTGATTATCACAAAACGTCTTCACTTTTGTGAAGTGCAGAGACAAAAATACACGGGCAAATCAACTTTCCAGATAAATGAAGCTCACTCTCTCAAAGCACATATCTCCGACTACCAAAGCAAAATAACCTCCCCACTCAATGGAAGCTGTTCTAAAATGGATTTCATACTTTGGGGCCTTCTATAGAGAGCCTAATTTAACCCTTCCTTCATTCATAGTCATTAAAAGAAGTATCAGTGATACAATCACACACACACACACACACACACACACACACACGCACGCATTATATCCATACATATATTAATATTCATATGTATATATTTTAAGGGCATCTCCATTTGCTAACTTGGGATAAGGCTATTTGCCTATGCTTTTTCCTGTGAGAGAAGAGCTAGCTCAACTCCACTATGGCGGGCACCTAGGCTGCATCATGAACAGGAAGGGACCCAGGCAGGCGCTCCTAGAGGCAAAGAAGGCTGCTGAATGCACGGCCCTGAGATGCACCTCTGGATGCTCAGAGGATTCAGACTTCTTCCCAGGTTTTCAGCCATACTCCTGATAACTTAAGTTGACAGCTGTTTAACACGGTTGTTTAAAACTTCCAACAGACGGTCCTAAATTCCTCTCACAGTCCTGTGTTTATAGAAAAGCTAAATTAGGCCACTGTTTTCCAACAGTCAACAGATGAGTACCAAAGCCGACCTTGACCGGGGTAAAGTGAGCAGAATGAGGACAATGTGCTCATTAAAATATGCTGCCCGAGGAATTCCTAAGACTGAGAAGCATTCCGGGCATGGTGTTGGGGTAGACTCTAAGTGCTGGGAAAAAATGCAACCAGTGACATGCAAAGAAACTTCTGGCCAACTTACTCATAAAAATGGAGTTCTAAAATTAGGAGGAGTTGCTTTTGCTTTACTATTTTAAACATTCTATATACATGCAGGCCTACAGCCTTGGGTAAAGTCAACCAATAACCTTAAAGAGAAATAAGAAAGGCCTCCCCAAAAAAGTACTTACCGGATGAAGCTCCCCAATGATGTATGTTTTGGACAGTTCTCGCGCATCTGTAGAGTGCCCGACATCCTCAAAGTTTTCAGTAGCATCACCTCCAGCTTGCTCCCTTAAGACTTCTTCCCCACCAGGATGCTATTCAAAAAACAGATAGAATTTTTAAAAAGTGTTTTTTCAGGCAAATGAGTTAAAAGAAGATGCCCAGTTTATTTAACCAAACAGGCTACTCCAGGAGTTACAGATGACAATGGGTGACTACAATTTGTCCATAAGGTGGATTAAAACAACACACTTCTTTAAACTCAGTTTCCTTCATGAACATGCAATAGAACCTTCCCCTAATAACGGAGGTTGCTTCCCCATATTTTTCATACACTAGGCAGGCACCTTTAATCCTTTGGTAATGTCTGCTTTGATTTTCTATGAAGTTCTCAAAATTGCTCTCCTAATCTGTACTCAATCTATTTTTCTTGAAACCTACAGCTGAGACTGACTTTAAGTCCAAGTGTGGCCATTAGACTGGGTGCAGTGGCTCATGCCTATAATTCCAGGACTCTGGGAGGCTGAGGTAGGAGGATCAATTAAGGCTAGGAGTTTGAGGCTGCAGTGAGCAATGATGGTTCCACTGACTGCACTCCAACCTAGGTGACACAGTAAGACCCTGTCTCTAAATAAAGAAATAAGAATTTAAGGAAAAAAAAGAGTGGCTGTTGCCTAAGATGACAATTCACAAGTAGCAGTTGGCATGTCACTTCCCTTTGGAAAGCATTCTGCATCCCTGTAAGGTACAAGGTGTACACAAGGTGTACAGCCTACTGGACAGACAAGCAAGACTTTGCCTTTGCCGAATTTATTTTTCAGTAGAAAAAGGAGAAAAAGAACTTGCTGAAGATGCTGCCATCACAATATCGTGTTGACAGGAACAATGGGGCAAAGAGGAAGGGTTTCAGATTCTACCTGGGTAGGGGGGTGGGAAGAATCTTTTGTGTAGCCGGGCTCGGTGGCTCAGCCTGTAATCCCGCGCCTTTGGGAGGCTGAGGTGAGTGAATTGCCTGAGCCCACGGGTTCGAGACCCGCCTGGGCAGTGAGACCTCATCTCTACAATAAATCAAAAAATCAGCTGGGCATGGTAGCGTATGCCTGTAGTTCCGGCTACTTGGAAGGCTGAGGCGGAAGGATCGCCGAAGCCCAGCAGGTCGAGGCTGCGGTGGCCGGAAGCGGCCACTGCACTCCAGTCTGGGCGACCAAGTGAGACTCCAACTCAAAAACAAACAAACAAACAAACAAACAAAAAAGAATCTTTTGTGTAATGAAAATATTCTGGTGCTTTTAGCTGTTTTGATTAGTAAAACAAAGAACGGTCATGCTGCACGCAGGAAGGGGTTTTTTTCTCTAAGATGATTGACACGTGGGGTCCCAACCTGGACATAGGTGAGACAGTCTAGAGATTTTCAGGCAAAGGAAGAAGCTCTTGGACAAGGGAAAAAAAAAACAGAGCTTGGTTCAATCATCCTAAATATGTACTTGTGTAGGGGAAAAAAAAAACTTTTTAAATCAAGTTTGATCAAATTAATCCTGTAAGTCTCCAAGAACTGAACAAAACCAGTGTCCCATGCAGAGCTGACTGGAGTCAGTTCTGAATTTCTCTCAACTATGGAAGACAGAAAGGAACATATCATTGTAGAAAGGTCAATAATTATCCTGCTTTGCAACCTATTTCTCTTCCTACTTTTAAACATATCCACTGTTAAAGAAATCGACTTTATTTTTGGTAAAATGTACCCATTTACATTGTAGAAAAATTGGGAAGCACAAAAAAAGAAAATAAAAATCACCCATAAAAAATTTTGCCCCCCAAAAAGAACTGCATATATATAATGTGCATATATATGAATAATTTTTTAAAGAAACTGAGATTATCTTATATATTTTGCTTTATTAAATAAACAGCAGATAATACATGGTACAGAGACCATACCGCCTAGTGGTTACCACTTACTATATGAACTTGGTTAAATAATGGTACTTATATAGTTTTGGGGGACTAAATGTGTAAATATATGTGTCTGGCACAATATTATCCAGCATTTTTATTAAATATTTTCCAATGTCGTTAAGTCTCTTTCCTCAATGTGAATTTTAAATGGCTGTATAATGCTATGTGGTACGAGCATTTCCCAATTTACTTAAATGTAGTCTTTTGGGGACATTCAGATTGTTAGAAGTCCACTTGAAGCAAGCATGGGAATGCATACTAGAAGGACAGGCAGCAGGCTGGCTAACTCAAAGTCAACCCAAAGCTTTTGGATTCATCTCCAAGGCTGTGACAATGAAAATATAGTTTTGCTGATTCTGGAACAGTCTGTTTCATGCTGGACACTGACTGAGGAGCAGAGAAGTAACAAGGTAGGAGATGTAAAATAACTCACCCAGCACCCACAAATTATACAAGTCCACAGACTGCTCCCTAGGTGCAGATGGCTTAACCTATGGACTTCCTCAGCTTCCAACTCCTGTTAAGGACTTGTGTTTCCAGACAAGTCTCCTGGAGTCAGTCATATCTTCTAGTCACAGCATATCTTCAAAGGACAATTTGAAATGAAGTTAAAAACATAGACTTAGACTTTTATAAAGAACCACAGCCGGGCTCGGTGGCTCAGCCTGTAATCCCACGCCTTTGGGAGGTGAGGTGAGTGAACTGCTTGAGCCCACGGGTTCGAGACCCGCCTGGGCAGCGAGACCTCATCTCTACAATAAATCAAAAAATCAGCCGGGCATCGTAGCACATGCCTGTAATTCCGGCTACTTGGAAGGCTGAGGCAGAAGGATCGCCGGAGCCCATCAGGTCGAGGCTGTGGTGACCAGGAGCGGCCACCGCACTCCAGTCTGGGCGACAGAGTGAGACTCCAACTCAAAAAAAAAAAAAGAACCGTAAAATTAGACAAGCTCTTAAATACAGAAGTCTGATCTTTAAAGTGCTATAATAGAGAAAGTCTGTTTCATGCTGGTAACACAAGTCTTCATTTGAAACAGAAGTACAAAAGAGTAGCTCCTCACCTTAATTTCTGACCAAGAACAGAAACAAGGGATATGTACATATGAATCCACTTGTCTATCTATCTCTGATTTATACCTAGCCTAACCGTGTGTTTTTTTTTCTAAGAAAAAAAGAGAAACAAACATCTTGAACTATATTGTTTTCACTGAAAACCTATAAAAAATTGTAAAGTAGATTTTTAAAAGCCATTTAAGAAAAAATATATAGTATAGAATAAACTAATTGATTCTAAAATGTTTTTACCCTAAAGATTTTTTTTAACAGTTAGGAAATCAAAGCCTAAAATGATATTTTTAGAACAAAATAACTCAAGTCTTGATAAAATATATGGGACTGGCTTTTTGTAATATCTAATATTTCCCCAAAATATATTTCTGATGAAGAGACAGACATCTTGCCAAACAAATTGAGTATAAAACATGATGTTTTGAAACTTGGTAATTCATCTTGTCACTCCTCTCTTATTAGAGAGTATATACAGCAGTTTTACTGAGCACACACCACATTTAGAGACTAAAGAAAATGAGTTTAATTACCTGTCAGCAGGCAAGAAATGACAAAGAAAAACTGGTAATTCTGGTGTTTATGCCATTGGTTATTTCCAAAGAACAGCATATGGCAGGGATTTGTGCCTTATCTTTTTTTTTTTTTTGAGTTGGAGTCTCACTCTGTAACCCAGGCTGGAGTGACACGCTCACAGTCACCACAGTGGCATGCTTACTGCCACTGTAGCCTCTGCCTGCTGGGCTCAGGCGATCCTTCCACCTCAGCCTTCCAAGTAGCTGGAACTACAGGCACACACCTCCATGCCTGGCTAATTTTTTGATTTATTGTAGAGATGAGGTCTCACCATGTTGCCCAGGCTGGTCTTGAGCCTGTGGGCTCAGGCAATCCTCTGGCCTCAGCCTCCCAAAGTACTGGGATTATAGGCGTGAGCCACTGCGCCCAGCCTTGTACCCTATTTTTATAGAATTTGGAGGAAGCCCGAAGAAAATGCAAGACTCTGAAGAAGAAAAACGGCAGAATAACAGGTGAGTGAAATTATCTGATGATTTTTTTCTAGAAAATTTGCAGTAAAGACCCAGTAAATGTTGCTACCACGCTCACATGTAGGCAAGATCAGAGGTAACAAAAGAGGCTAAATTCTCCTAAAGGGTCTGAGCCAAGTGGAAGTTGTAGTTCCATAACGGTGAAGTCTATAGCAGAAATCTCTCTCCGTGAGGTACCCCTTGCTGTACCTACACTCACCCCACCATGTGGGGACAGTGACCGGCCATAGCAGGAAAGGTAAGGAGAGGATGTGGGGAACGGTAAGGAGGACCCAGGAAGGACAGCACCAGGGTAGTGATAGATGCGCAAAGCCACTTCCACCCAAGCCACCCCTCTAATGTAGTCTTTCATGTTTCCAGAGGAAGACTTCAACTTCCATTTGTGTCTTTTTTGTTTTGTTTTATGTTTTGAAACAGGGTCTTACTCTGTGGCCCAGGTTGGAGTGCGGTGGTGCCATCATAGCTCACTGCAGCCTTGAACCCCTAAGCTCAAGTGATGCCCCGGCTTCAGCCTCCAGACGAACTGGAACAATAGGCGCACACCACCATGCCTAGCTCTGCTTGTGTTCTTATGTGCTAAAGTTAATTCACTCAACAAATACACACCGAGCATGTCCACCTGCCAGACACCAAGGTGTGTCAGCCATACTCGTGAGCAAAGAAAGCCCCAGCTCTCACCCTTGGGAGTTCACCATCTAACAGTGATCAGACATGAATAACCCAGAACTATGCCTAGGAGTGAAAGCAAGTGTTCTGAAACAAAAGAGTGCGGTGTCACGAGGACTATGAAAAGGGAATGCCACCAACATGGAGAGGTCAGCAGGGGTCCCAGTGAGCTGTCACATAGGCAGGAGCTGGAGTCAAGGGTGGGGAAGGAAGGGACAAGTTCCATGGAGGAAGGTTCTACAGGGGAAGGGACACAGAGGGTTCAGGACAAGGGAGAAGGTCCAAAGGCTAGAGGGGAGGAGAAAGAGCTAGGTGAGGGCAAGGGCAGGGCAGGGCCAGGCCACACTGGGCTTCCAGGCCTC